ACACATACTGAGTTATAGATATTTTATAAAACAATTACATACTTCGAGGTCTCAACTACTGTTTGTGTGTTTTCTGGACTGGCCAAGGCTGTTGAAGTAAAAAGCAGCACTTGCAACTAAGTCCACTTGACATGTCAAGAACATAAACCTGATGTACTGGAATTAACTGATTAGCCCATCTGATCAAGGCAGAAGATATGTGGAGGTTTGCAGAATCCCAAATTATAAAATCAAGAAAAGCTGGCTGTAAATCCCCATGACACATACTTCAAGTCTCCCCTAACGTGGAATGACCATCCATTTGACCTCCTCTTGGACTCCAAAATGTCCCACTCATAGGAGTTTCCTTGAGGACTTCATTATCTATTATGGTCAATCTTGCCTCTGTGCAAGGTTAAGAACACCCCCACTCCAATTCAAACAATATCCTTGTTGTATGGAAAGGCATGGCCATGACCAGCTATTCTTCAGGACTCTAGATGCTTTGAATAAAAACTAACATTTCCACTGGCCGCAATTTCTAGGATTCAGAGGAGCAAGGTAATGGCAAAGGGCCCCTTTAATACTGAGAGGATCTAGGGTCCCAAGGGGGTCAAGTCCTAGCTACACTAGCTAACAACAATAACAATAATAGTAATAGCTAAATTTAATTGAGCACTTACTATGTAACAGACATACTTCTAAAACCCTTCCAACATATATCAGTCATTTAATGTTCATAACAAATCTTTAAAGTAGTAGTAGTAGTTGTTGCTGTTGTTTGTTGTTTTTGATACCACCCCCATTTTACTGATGAGAAAACTGAGGCACAGAGAGGACAGAGTTAGCCTAAGGTCACACAGTTAACTGGTGAAGGCAGGACTTAAAACAAAACACTCTAATCTCAGAGCCTGCATTTTTAACCAAAATGTGATTCTGAATCCATTCAAACACAAAAGAGAGTATTTATATCAATATAAATGTATCCTGTGACAAGGGCTCCTTTCTAACCATGGCGTATCAAAAAGTTCTGTTTGCCCTTCCTCTAACAGAGCATACCATGGCCAAGAGAGTTGCAGTGATTGGAGCTGGTGTGAGTGGCCTGTCCTCCATCAAATGTTGCTTAGACGAGGGCTTGGAGCCCACCTGCTTTGAGAGAACTAATAACATCGGGGGACTATGGAAGTTTACTGTGAGTGGTCAAAATTCTCCCATCTCCATTGATCATAGTCCAGCCATTTGGTTTTTCTCTGCTCAGACACAGTGGCTTCAGCCTGCCTTGGTGATCAAGTAGGGGAGCAGCTGACTGCAACAACACAAACATGTGCACGGTGCAGTGTCATGCACTGAGCAGGATGCAGTCTGATGAGTGAGGAACCTTGAGAATTTTCAGCCTGCCTTGGTGATCAAGTAGGGGAGCAGCTGACTGTAACAACACAAACATATGCACGGTGCAGTGTCATGCACTGAGCAGGATGCAGTCTGATGAGTGAGGAACCTTGAGAATATGTAGGCAGGGGCAGGGGCTGTTGGAAGAGAGAGGAGGAAAGAGTTAAGTCTGATAGACAAACATAGTATTGGAAGTTAATGATAATTTCTGGACGATGGACATTCTAAGACAAAGGAGCCAAGGATCACATCAGGTATGTGCATGGTATTGGTGAATATGAAGATTACGCTCTAGGGAGGTTGGAAGTTGGCATCTGAGAATGGAGCCCAAATCCACAGGCGTTATTCAGATCTTTGGGAAGAGAACTGGCAAGAGTGAGGCAGGACCGCAGACCTTCCAAAGGAGAGGGAGTAGCTTTCACATCATCGGAACAGAAAGAACTCAGGCACTGACCAATCCTTCTTAGAAGTGGAATATGCAGCCTTGGGGGTCATATTGAGGGCCAGGCCAGCTGTTAGTTGACTTCATCATTAGAAAGTAGGGCTGGAAGTGGTTAAATACCACCTGCCTCTGGCCAGGTTTGTCCTGGTTACTGGGAGTAACAAGGTATTCAGTGGGGTCCGAGGGATCCCCCCTAGTGGTGGGGCATAAGAAGGTGTCAGAAGATGGAAGCCAAGCAGGCCCAAGTACTAAATGCCAGAGGGGGAAGAGAAGAGCAAGGTTCATTCAACTGTATGAACAAGAGAAGCCTTCATGGAAGAGATGGTATTTGCTGGGTCTTGGATGGGTGGTAAATAAAAAAGAATAAGCAAATGTATGTAAGCGGGAGTGGTCACAACTCTAGGATTATAGTATAACAGGAGGAAAAAAGAACATTTTCTGGTATACTGTGAGCCTCGTCATGCCACCAAATGTCAATGTGAAAAGAAAGTACTGGATTTGGTTTGTGTAACTTCTGCTGTTTGACCCCATGGTTGGTTTGGTTTCCTTCTCTTATTCCAAAGTAACACAAATTAGTTTTAGAAAATAATGTTGAATTAAGTAAAAGGAAAAATACAAATCAAATATAGCAACAACACCCACAGGTTAGCACTATTAAAATTTCAATGTAATTTCTTCCAGCATATATATATGTACATATATATGTATACGTATATATATATAATATATATACTATTTTTTTTCAAAAATGCAATTGTAATATTAATTTTCATTCATTCAACAAGCATTTATCATGTCCTTCTGCCAGGACACAATGGTGAACCACATAGACAGGATCTCTGCCCTCCTTTCAGTCTACTAGGGAACAGAAACAGGAAATAATGCAGTGTGATCAGCTCTGTGTTGGAAGTACAGGGTTCTTTGGGGCCACAACAACTACCTTATGCAGATCTTTTGGGCCATGGAAGGCTTCTTAGAGAAAGTGACAGCTACAAAAGAGACTTGAGGGAGAAATAGAGATTAGCTTCAGCCATAAGAAATTCATTGGTGCCTTTAATACAGGCCTTTGGCTTTTGCTGCTTTATCTTCAAGTGATGGAAATCAAGACAAGACTCCAAGTTGAGGAGCACCTGAGAAAATACAGACTATGAGTATGTGATGATTCTTTCATGAAGATTGAGATAGGATGGAGAGATGTGGTGCTGGAAGGGGACATACGTGGAGAGGGGGGTTTGTTTTGTTTTTAAAAGTAGAGTCTTCAGTATTTTAAATGCCGATAAGAAGGAACCAATAAAAAGAGGGTGATTGAGAATATACATTAACAATGATGAGAAAAATCAGCAAGGGGTTGCCTGAGGAAAGGCAAAGAGGAAGATGTCCAGAGCTGGAGTGGAGGAAGTACCCAGGATAAGAGGAGAAGGAAAAGAACCAGGACAGATCGTGGGCCCTATGTTCATGGAATCCTTTGTTTAAGGACAATGTTAGACTTGGAGAGCCTTATAAAATTTCATTTAGCTTCTTTGAGGTTTGAGAAGGATTTTGCATTTAATTATTCCAATTCTACCTATGATTTCTGATAATTATAGCATGGAGACACAATGCTGAGTTTCAGAGCTTTTTAAAAGTACAAGTGGAATGCTAACTATGGGGCTGGCAATTATTCCAATTCTACCTATGATTTCTGATAATTATAGCATGGGGACACAATGCTGAGTTTCAGAGCTTTTTAAAAGTACAAGTGGAATGCTAACTATGGGGCTGGCATGAGCCACCATGATCTCTGTTCTCTTCCTCCTGGCTCACCCTATCAAGCTAACTATGTCCTCACCACAGGAATCTTCTGAAGATGGGATGACCAGAGTCTACAGGTCCTTAGTGACAAATGTCTGCAAGGAAATGTCATGTTACAGTGACTTCCCATTCCAAGAAGATTATCCCAATTTTATGAACCAAGGAAAATTTTGGAACTATCTCCATGAATTTGCTGAGCACTTTGACCTCCTGAAATATATTCAATTTAAGGTAAGATACTTTGGCTTATGGAAGGTTAATGAATGGAGGCTGGCCTGTTTAGCAATCTAATGAAAATAGGATGTTTAAGCAAACTTTTTCTTGACTTTAAGACTCCTCACTTCTGCTGCTCATGTTTTTTACTCATATAAATCATTAAAATATTGAATTTCTTGATTCCCCCTCTAAATGTCAAACTCTCATTCAAGATAAAATTTAGAATTTTCTTTTAGAGGAAAAAAAAGAACTTTGTTCATGAAACCCATTGGGAAGAAATGACTAAAAGTAAGATTGACAGAAATTATAATGGGGCAAAACTCATTTTTCTAAATTTTTTCAATGCATCAGGTATTATAACTTATCTCCTTCTCACCAGGAATAAAAACTGGCTATTTCTTCCTCCCAGTGAAAGAATTCAGATATCTTGGGTACAAATCTATATTACTACCTTTGAGAGATTGCACAGTTTACTTTAGTTCTCTGGGAAAAAGATAAACCAATATTTATAGACCTCCTATCATGGAACTTGGTCTACTTAAAATAACAGGCATGGTCACCATCCCAGTCATTGTAGGAGCTCTGAAGATATTGATAGGAAGTGAGTGTTTGTCTTTTGCTTTTAGACCACTGTGTGCAGTGTAACAAAGCATCCAGACTTCTCTGAAACTGGCCAATGGAATGTCGTCACAGAAAGAGAGGGCAAGCAGGATAGAGCTATCTTTGATGCTGTCATGGTTTGCACCGGGCGTTTCNACTTGGAGAGCCTTATAAAATTTCATTTAGCTTCTTTGAGGTTTGAGAAGGATTTTGCATTCAATTATTCCAATTCTACCTATGATTTCTGATAATTATAGCATGGGGACACAATGCTGAGTTTCAGAGCTTTTTAAAAGTACAAGTGGAATGCTAACTATGGGGCTGGCATGAGCCACCATGATCTCTGTTCTCTTCCTCCTGGCTCACCCTATCAAGCTAACTATGTCCTCACCACAGGAATCTTCTGAAGATGGGATGACCAGAGTCTACAGGTCCTTAGTGACAAATGTCTGCAAGGAAATGTCATGTTACAGTGACTTCCCATTCCAAGAAGATTATCCCAATTTTATGAACCAAGGAAAATTTTGGAACTATCTCCATGAATTTGCTGAGCACTTTGACCTCCTGAAATATATTCAATTTAAGGTAAGATACTTTGGCTTATGGAAGGTTAATGAATGGAGGCTGGCCTGTTTAGCAATCTAATGAAAATAGGATGTTTAAGCAAACTTTTTCTTGACTTTAAGACTCCTCACTTCTGCTGCTCATGTTTTTTACTCATATAAATCATTAAAATATTGAATTTCTTGATTCCCCCTCTAAATGTCAAACTCTCATTCAAGATAAAATTTAGAATTTTCTTTTAGAGGAAAAAAAAGAACTTTGTTCATGAAACCCATTGGGAAGAAATGACTAAAAGTAAGATTGACAGAAATTATAATGGGGCAAAACTCATTTTTCTAAATTTTTTCAATGCATCAGGTATTATAACTTATCTCCTTCTCACCAGGAATAAAAACTGGCTATTTCTTCCTCCCAGTGAAAGAATTCAGATATCTTGGGTACAAATCTATATTACTACCTTTGAGAGATTGCACAGTTTACTTTAGTTCTCTGGGAAAAAGATAAACCAATATTTATAGACCTCCTATCATGGAACTTGGTCTACTTAAAATAACAGGCATGGTCACCATCCCAGTCATTGTAGGAGCTCTGAAGATATTGATAGGAAGTGAGTGTTTGTCTTTTGCTTTTAGACCACTGTGTGCAGTGTAACAAAGCATCCAGACTTCTCTGAAACTGGCCAATGGAATGTCGTCACAGAAAGAGAGGGCAAGCAGGATAGAGCTATCTTTGATGCTGTCATGGTTTGCACCGGGCGTTTCTTGAATCCCCGTTTACCTTTGGAATCCTTCCCTGGTGAGTGATTTCTTCCTGAGCCCAAGCCTTCTATTCTGGCTTCTTCTAGAAGAGCTATTGATTTGTAATTGGAAATACTTCTCCATTATTATAGATAACTTTACATTCAGTCTTAAAAATAGTACGTACAAAATTATTTTAAAAGATATAAAGCACCATATAGGGGTTAGGTCTTATTATTTACTTATTAACATAAATGTTATTGTTATTGTTTAAGCTTTATCATGCATGTCTAGTTCAAGTTTAATGCTCATATAAGGCTTAAAACTATCAGATCCATCATGAAAAAGAACAGGTTTTGATTTTGC